CGGATGGTAGGAAAAAAACTACATGAGCGAAAACCCAACCCCCGCGAATCCTGTGTGTGTGTGTGTGTATGTGTATGTGTGTGGGTATGTATGTAAAAGGCCAGTCCGCGGAGGGTGGCCGAATAAGAACAGAGGGGGGAGGAGGGCGGGGGGACGGGAGAGGAGGGAGGAGGGAGGAGGGAGGAGGGAGGAAGAGGGAGGAAGAGGGAGGAGGAGGGAGGAGGGAGGAATGAGGACGGAGGATGGAGGAGGGAGGATGGAAGATGCAGGAGGGAGGGGGGAGGAGGCAGGAGGGCGGAGGGAGGAAGGAGGGACGGAGGATGGAGGAGGAGGGAGGAGGGGAAGGAGGAGGGGGGAGGGAGGAGGGAGGAGGGGAGGAGGAGGGAGGAGAGGAGGGAGGGAGGGAGCGAGGAGGGGGAGCGAAGGAGGGAGGGAGGGAAAGAGGGAGGGCGGGAGAAGGGAGAGGTGGAGGAAGAGGAGGAGGAGGAGGAGGAGGAGGAGGAGGAGGAGGAGGAGGAGGAGAAATGCGTAGCTCAGAAGGTGCGAGGGATGATTGTGACCCTGAAAAGGAGGTGTGGGAATGACGAGTAGCACGGTAAACGCGCGGACTGTATGTATATATAATGCCAGAGAAATAAACGAGAGGGGGAGAAGGAGGAGGAGGAGGAGGTGAAAGAGGAGGAGGAAGACATCGAGGAGGAGGACGCGTTTGCGGGTGGTGATGATGTTATGCACATGATGCTGCTGATACTGCTGCTGATGATGATGACGACGTTGATGCTGACGCTGATGATACTGACGACGATGATGATGATGCTGATGATGATACTGCTGGTGATGATGATCATGATGATGACGACGATGATGATGATGCTACTGATGCTGTTGATGATTGTGATGATGATGAAAGTAATACTGATGTTGCTGGTGATGATGATGATGCTGATGCTGCTGTTGTTGATGATGCTGTTGATGATGATGCTTATGCTGATTCTGGTTAGTGTTGTTGTTATGGTTGTTGTTGTTGTTGTTGTTGTTGTTGTTGTTGAACTCTAATTACTGAAGAATAATTATTGTTGATCCCCCCCCTCCGGCGGACATTGTATTTTTTCAATTGAAGTGCCCCTTCCGGGGCTCGCACCCTGTTTTTTATCAGGGAAAGGCGTGGGCATCAAACTGCGTTGTTGGCCCCCCGGACAACAACAACAACGGCTCCCGCCTGATACTTCCTCCAAATTTACTCAGGACCCCCGCCCCCGCCTGGGACTTCCTCGCAGTTTACTCAGGCGGAGGCGCTCCCGCTTGAGACTTCCTCGCAAATTACTCCGGACCCCCGCCCCCGCCTGGGACTTCCTCGCAGTTTACTCAGGCGGAGGCGCTCCCGCCTGAGACTTCCTCGCAAATTACTCCGGGAGCGGCGCTCCCGCCTGGGACCTCCTTCACAACTGAGCATCAAACTGTGTTGTTGGCCCCCCGGACTACAACAACAACGGCTCCCGCCTGATACTTCCTCCACATTTACTCAGGACCCCCGCCCCCGCCTGGGACTTCCTCGCAGTTTACTCAGGCAGAGGCGCTCCCGCCTGAGACTTCCTCGCACATTACTCCGGGAGCGGCGCTCCCGCCTGGGACCTCACTCACAACTGAGCCCTGCTGAACTCTCAATACTGAAGAATAATTCTTCTTGATCCCCCCCGGCGGACACAGTATTTTTCCCCGACCTGGCGGAGGGGTTCCCGTTGTGTGTCCCCCTGGGGGGGTCTGGGGGGGGGACCCCCCGGGACATGGCCCCGGCCACGGGCGGAACCCCTGCTCTTCCTGTTTTAGGGGCTGCGCCAACTACACGTGGCGAGTAAAAAAGATATACCCCCAAAGGGGTATGACCGAAGACGAAGAGGGTGGGTATCGAGGGTTTGGGATTTACATATTGAGTGACGCGCGCTCATATAAGAGCGATCAGTCTTAAGATGATTGTTGTTGTTGTTGTTGTTGTTGTTGTTGTTGTTGTTGTTGTTGTTGTTGTTGTTGTTGTTGATGTTGTTGTTGATGTCGTAGTTTTATCGGTATTATGATTATTATCATGATCATTGTTATTATCAGTATGATGATTATTATGATTAGTATCATTATTGTTATCATCATTCTCTTTCTTCTTCTTCTTCTTCTTTTTATCCATTCTCATTTTTATCATCATTATTATTAGTATTATGTAGCACCCCGCAATTGCAGAGAAGAGTGAGGGGGCGGGCGCGGGCGACGCGGGCGTCGAGCCGGCGGACCTCGTGGCCTTCACCTTCCCTGTCGATGGCGCCCTCCTCCTCCTCCTCCTCCTGCTCCTCCTCCTCCTCCTCTTCCTCGTGATTTGCGTGCTCTGACAAGTTCAGCGCGGGGGGGATCGCTGGTGGGCCACCCGGAACGAATGCAAAAACAGCCCGCCGCAGGCGCCGAATTTTTGGCTTGTTCAGTGAACGTAGTTTGGGTCGCGGGTGTGTCGCGGGCT